AAGAGGAAAGAAAAACAAAATAAAAGGAAAGCAAAAAAAGCTAGGGCAAAAAGAATGGAAGCTAACTGCAAAAGACTTATTGAAACCATTGCACCTCAGCAAGAATCGCATAATGCTACAGAGCCTATTGGCCCATTATTTCTTCATTATCAAGGAATAAGTGGGCTCCTCAAAACGCAAAGGTCATATATCCAATATGCCTTTGAGAAGGGTTGTTCACCAACGAATCACAGGACATTATCAAGCAATATCTACGTTTCAACTTAAGTGAAAATCATGATGATGATGAAAGTAATTGTATAAATACGAAGCTAATAAAACAAAATAAATAAAATAAAATGCTGATGACATAAATGATGATGATCAAGATGCTCACAGCAGCATTGATGGTGATGCTGAAGACAGGGATGAAAAGGATAGCCAAAACTATAATAACATTAACAACAACATTGTTTATAATTGCAATAAGACTATAGCATTGTTATAAATGAAAAGTAGATGTTTGTTGAATTCTTGCAATAGTACTTCACAGTTTATATCCATAATGTTCCGTTGCTCTTTTTTTTTTTACCAAATAAAGAACTTTTTTTTTTCCTTCTGTGGGTGAACCGCTACATGATCATGGGCATATATTTGCATGACCCTCCCCCTTTTAAAGGTCCATTTTTCATGACCCCTCCCTTTTCTGAGTCTCAAAAAGTTGTGACCCTCCCTCTGTTTCCACCCCCGCCTCCCCCACTGCTAATTTCTGACAAGTCCCTAAGTTAATCCAGGGTTAGTGCGAAATTTGATTTCAGATAAGAAAGCTTGAGAAGCAAATTAAGTTTTACTCTTTTTGCCTACAATTTGATGATTGGATGCTCTATAAAGAAGAGAGAAAATTATGAGGGAAAATGCTTCTGAATAAAAAAGAAAAAAGAAAAAAGAAAAAGAAACCCCGGTTAAAATTTAACCCTGGGTTAGCGCTAATCGGCCTTCGAAGAACTGCGCCCAGTTCTTCACCGTGAATACTGTATTCAAGATGGCAACCTCGTTCCCAGCTTCTCTCTTGGCAGAGCAAGATGCAAATTTCGCTTTTCGACGCATGCTCCGTTGCCAATGTTTCCACAGGAGTCCTGGGTACTTGAGTAAATCCAGAAACGTGTCGGATACGTGTGGACGGGCGAATTCGATTTCAGACGTGGAAATTTTTAAATCCGGAAGGAAAAAGTTGCGGATTCGCAAATATCCGGGTACGTGTGGCCCGGCATAAGGCCCTGTCCACATGTATCAGGATATTTTTGAAACCTGAAACCCACGCGTAACAAGACACAGGTTTTTAAAAACGGTCCCAGAGTGAAAATTTTGAAAACGCTGGATTGTCGTTATCGTTAGCTGGGGGAAATTGAGATATAAATCGAACTTGCATCGTTTTTGCGTTTTCGAGTGAAAGGGCAAAAANTTTTTCCTTCTGTGGGTGAACCGCTACATGATCATGGGCATATATTTGCATGACCCTCCCCCTTTTAAAGGTCCATTTTTCATGACCCCTCCCTTTTCTGAGTCTCAAAAAGTTGTGACCCTCCCTCTGTTTCCACCCCCGCCTCCCCCACTGCTAATTTCTGACAAGTCCCTAAGTTAATCCAGGGTTAGTGCGAAATTTGATTTCAGATAAGAAAGCTTGAGAAGCAAATTAAGTTTTACTCTTTTTGCCTACAATTTGATGATTGGATGCTCTATAAAGAAGAGAGAAAATTATGAGGGAAAATGCTTCTGAATAAAAAAGAAAAAAGAAAAAAGAAAAAGAAACCCCGGTTAAAATTTAACCCTGGGTTAGCGCTAATCGGCCTTCGAAGAACTGCGCCCAGTTCTTCACCGTGAATACTGTATTCAAGATGGCAACCTCGTTCCCAGCTTCTCTCTTGGCAGAGCAAGATGCAAATTTCGCTTTTCGACGCATGCTCCGTTGCCAATGTTTCCACAGGAGTCCTGGGTACTTGAGTAAATCCAGAAACGTGTCGGATACGTGTGGACGGGCGAATTCGATTTCAGACGTGGAAATTTTTAAATCCGGAAGGAAAAAGTTGCGGATTCGCAAATATCCGGGTACGTGTGGCCCGGCATAAGGCCCTGTCCACATGTATCAGGATATTTTTGAAACCTGAAACCCACGCGTAACAAGACACAGGTTTTTAAAAACGGTCCCAGAGTGAAAATTTTGAAAACGCTGGATTGTCGTTATCGTTAGCTGGGGGAAATTGAGATATAAATCGAACTTGCATCGTTTTTGCGTTTTCGAGTGAAAGGGCAAAAATGATTTGAATACTCTACGTGTGGATTTGAAAACGAAAAAAAAATCAGTTTTCAAAAATATCCGGGTACGTGTGGACGAGGTCTCTTATTTAATTTGGTTGCTTTGTTTTTTCAGTAGAATTAATTTTTTAAAGCATGGTTTTGTATGATTTACCATAAGAAAACGTATTGAAGCATTCAAAATAGTACATAAAACAAAACAAGTGGTATAGAAAGTGAAGTTTCAGCGTCCCCTCAAACAGATTGTACGCATACAAGTACACGTATCCGGATTTTTTAGGCAGCAAACTTTTTTCTTACAAAAAGCTGCAAATTTGCCCTCGTATTTATAAATACTCCAGAATACCCAGCCACTCGGAAGCTATTATGCCCCTATAACAGTGGCTACATGGCTACACGGCTACGTAGTCTCCTACGGTTAGGGATTAGGGTTAGGGTTCGAAACTCGGATCAAAATTATTCACAAGGTGTCACGCTCCAAGTTAAGTTCTTTAATCCCACTTCGACCCTTGTGGAAAAAAAGAAACCCATGTAGTTGAGGTATAGAGTGTTTTCACATGACGTCACGAAGGCCATATTGGTGTCCCGAAACAATGAAACGGCAGCCATGTTGGTGTCCCAAACCAGCCCTGTGGGAGTTGAACTCTTTTCTTATGCAAACGATTTTTTTTTTGTTCCAAGAACGATTTGCATAGATGCTGGCTACGTGAGTGAAAATGCTCTATAATTCGTTCTTTAAACATCGAGCCGAAACAAGCGTACTACACATGTGATATTCCTGGATTTTTAAACCATGAGCGTAAACAACCACATGCACATGTATACCTTGTCCTTTAAGTCATCCACGCAGACCCGTAGCTACGTAGCTGCGTAGTTGCGTAGTCCATACTGACCTGCTTGATTTCTTGAATATCTGGTTCTTCGCTACCTTCAACCCCATACAATATCCCCGTAATCCAGTCCGATTCTTGCGGTTGTCCATACACAAATTCGAGAAACGATCTTTCTGCAGACACTCTATCAATATCCATGTCTACAAGAAGTGGATAAGATGTCGCGTTAAATGCGTGTAATTTTATTAGATCACAAACGGTATTGATTAATTAACAAAATCGTCCTCGCGCGAGCTGCCTACAATTTAGCAGAAGGAGGCCTGGGAACAACATCATACCTTCCTCCTCCTCAGATCCTCAGACGTATCGTTTTTTCGTTTTTCGCGCAGAGGCGAGTGCGAAACGCAAGTGACTGGTGACGAAGCGCAAGGGACGATGGGAATGAGTCCCGCCTTCGTTTGCGACAAAAGGGAGCTTTAGCAACGACGACGACGACGGCAAAGAGGACGTCAAAAAAGCAATAGGTTTAAAACGCAAAACAACAGCTTTGCACGTGCATCACGCTTTTTTGTACATTTCTTTACCGTCCTTGCACGACTACGACGTGAAAATGCCTAATTGCAAGTTTTATGGAGGACGTAAACAAGCGACGACGAATCTCTTTTTCTCTCTCTAAACTTGAGTGCGGTCCTCAAGAAATCAACTCCAGGGAAATTCGCCTACACTTGCCATTTTCAGCTAATTGGAATAAACGCAACAAAGATTGAAAAAACGGGAATTCATTTTAAAACTGACGTTTTCGCTGCAGTTGCCGTCGTCCATGCTAAAGCTCCCTATTTTTCATCGAAGAACAAGGCAGAGATAATACGGTTTGGTAACCCTCGTTGATACCCATTGAGCCTGCGTGAGCCTCGCACGCGTTTTCGCAGCTCTTTTTTCGCTTTCGCCAAACAAACCGCCAGCTACACAGGCTATAACCCATTCCAGTACAAACAATATAAAAATCAGCCCAAATTCTGGTCTGCTGTTTCAGATGTATTCGAATCTCAAGTCCTTAAATCCAACCCAATCTTGTCCAACTTTCCAATTACAGAGTGCTAAACCTTTATAGACGGATGAGGTCGTTTTCGTTCCACATGGAACGAGACAGATTATTCATTTATGCTTAGCTTTCAGTTTTTAGTAATAAATTAAGCGGTTACGAATCTCATTTTCGGCCATTTCCATCTAAATCGCGATAAACCGGCCCAAACAGGGGGATTTGTGATTGGCGATTGTTTCGCCAGTAGCTGCGGGTTTCATGGCCGATGAAGTTCGGAGAAGACAAGGAATGCTTCACAAAGATTCGTCGAAACAAACAAACACCCGGGAAAACCACTCAACCACTGTCTTCGTGCTGATCGCAGGGGTGGCGGGACTGCGCTATTATTTCGGGACGGTCTAGATGTAAACAAAGTGTTTTCAGCCGACCGATCTTCGTTTGGATCTGTTCGTCTGCGTGTTGTCATCGTGTATAGGCCAACATACTCTGCGGAGCATACCGTGACTACGAGTGTTTTCTTTCATGAATTCTCAGTCTATCTCGAGTCGTTAGTTATGTGTAATGAGTTACTGTTAATATGTGGTAATTTTAACATTCATATGGACGTTCCATCAGACGCTGACACCATCTGGCTCAAGGACCTGTTGAACTCTATTGGTCTGGTACAGCATGTCAAACGACCCACGCACATACATGGCCACACCTTAGACTTAATTATCACACCGCAGGCTGACGATATTGTGGACGGTGAGCCCCTTCCTGAGAGATATTTCTCTGACCATGTTGCCGTGATATGTAAGCTAAGTGTGGCGAAGCCTCGCTGAGAATTAAACATGCTGAACACAGGAAACTCAAATCATATAATATATATGATTGATATAACTAAACTGAAAGAAGATATCCGCAATTCTCAACTATATCAAGACCCGCCTAATGATTTGAACATGCTGCTCGACTGTTATAACACGACTTTAAGATCTGTACAGCCCCCGAAATTATTCCGACCCCGAAATGATCCCCAACCCTGAAATGATCCCCAAATCGACCCCGAAATGATACCGACCCCGAAATGATCTCCATTTCTCTTCACGTCGACCCCGAAATGATCCTCAATTAGTTCTTGGAATAGAACTTGTATTTCGTCTCGGAATTATTACAAATCTGTTGCAGCGTTTACGTTCTTAAATCGCGTTTAACATTTCGCTACAAATTGAAAACGTTACAGTCAAGAACAGTATTTTTCCTTGTTCCCTTCCCATGAGACCCTAATCCCCAATCTTCTCTTGTTCCAAGAAACACTTAAATAGCGACTGGGTACGAGTCTGAGTCAAGAAGACTTTAGCAGCGACTGACCAAACAAAGTGAAATAGAGTTCAGTTGCGATATTTCGACTGGCCAGTACCAGTCTTCATCAGGTTTATTGAGATATCACGAATTCACAGAAATATATATGAAGTAAAATTATGACCGGAAATTACATAATATGACGTGGTATGGTGGCTACTTTAAAAGACAAGATAACAAAAAAGTAAGAGATATACTATATATGTAGTTACAGTTCATCACGTTTATTGATGCCCAGAGGTTCAATTATCTTAGCTTTATGGATAAGGTGGGCTTCACGTGCTTTCCTGAAAGAATCACGCCCATTTTTAAGTTTTTCAATGGGAATCAAAAGCATATGATTGTCGGAATGATTACTGGTTAGAAAGTGTTCTGAAATTGCAGTATGGATGTAATTACCAGTAGGGTTGAGTATAGGTCATCTGTGTTCATTAAAACGGTCTTTGAGGCGACGTTTAGTTTCTCCAATATATTGTAGATTACACAGGCGACATTGAATCAAATAGATAACATTAAAAGTTGCACAAGTGATATGAGATTTGATGTGGTGGGTCACACCTGTAGAATGAAAAGTGTAATCGCGGCTGCGACAAAACCTTTCTTAAGATCCAAATACAACGAGCTTCCGACATTCTTTGCACTGAAGCACTTACAAACAAACCCAAGACTTAGACTGAAACCTGCTAAAGTCTTCTTGACTGTAACGTTTTCAATTTGATTTATTTTGACTGAAAACGATCTTTTTGGATCCGACTTTGAGCAAGATTGATCGTACTCGGTATTTGCAGTGGGTTTTTTTTCCTTAATTAAACATTTCGCTACAGTTTATGTGTTTTTTTGGCGCTTCTGTCATCTAATCGCCTTTATGTATACTTTTGCATATTCAAGATCATTTTAAGATTTTAAAAAGTGTTAAAACACCATTTTTAAAATTCAATATCCAAGGCATGCAGTTTTAACATCATTTTTAGAATTTAACATCTATGCAGTTTTCTCTTTTACCCGGGCTATAATCACCTAAGTAATAATTTTGAAAAATGTTATGTTTCTTGATATTATCAGTTGCAGTTCATGGTGTTCCTAAAAATATACTAGACTTTGTGTATTTTTTGATAATAATACTCGTTTAATCCAGTTCAAAGTGTAATCCCAAATTAATGTCATGTGGGCAAGTGAAGATTATTATAGTGAAGCTTTATAATGCACCTATCAATGTAAATCCCGTGGAGGGGGAGTGTGGGCAAGGGGCGGGGATTTGGTTCCTCAGACTTTCCCCCCTGTCGGGCTTTTGATCGTGCGAAGCGACCCCGGGGTCGGGACATTTGACTTTGACCGACAGAAGCCTGGTACCAATTCAGAAGTGGTTACCCAGTCTGTCCCTCGAGGCTTTCTGAAAGTCACGCTTTTGCAGAAAGGTGTGAAGTTTTCATTTGTTTTAATCGCCATAATCCGATACCTTAAACTGTCATCTAAACAGATAATGTCTATTTGGAGAAAGTTTTTATCTTCAAGTTCCCATCTGATTGTAAAACTCGATTGAAATCGAATTCCACCATGAAATTCAGAGGATTTTTTACAGGTCACTGATCCGACCTGTTCCGACATGTTGAGCAGATGTTATAAAGCATTGTACGTTTCATTAATACCGTAAAATTCCGAAAAGAAGCCCCTCCATGTATAAGCCCCTCCAAATATAAGTCCCCCAAAATCGTAATGTAAAAAGCCCTCCGTTAAATCGCCCCTCCGAATATAAGCCCCGCGGGGGGCTTGTACTTGGAATTTGCCCTCGAATACAAAGTAAAACAAAGCAAAAATGGTAAATTTCCTTTCCACTACAAGCTAGCCCAACCGATTTTATAACGCAAATTTTCCTCCGTACATAAGCCCCTCCGAATATAGGCCCCTCCAAAAATAAGCCCCTCAAAAAGGGCCTTTGAAAAATATAAGCCCCGGGGCTTATTTTCGGAATTTTACGGTATTATAATAGCACGGTCAATCTTCCTGGAGGGATTTTGTTGTTCAAAGTAAGAGATGCTAGTGGAGAGAGAAAATACTTAATTACAGCGAGTAATTTAACGGAGCTTATGTTAACCTTTTATTAAATAAAAGTAGTAAGAACGTACTTTTGAAATGTTCTTTTATTTGTTTTTAAAGTATTATAGCATTGTTTGTTTAGATTTTTTCCCCCGAGGTGGGGGCTTTTTTGACACTTTTGATTGACCTTTCGTTTCCCACCCTGGGGAATTTGGGAGAAATGAGGATCATTTCATAAACGCGATTTAAGAACGTAAACGCTGCAACAGATTTGTAATAATTCCGAGACGAAATACAAGTTCCATTCCAAGAATTAATTGGGGATCATTTCGGGGTCGACGTGAAGAGAAATTGGGATCATTTCGGGGTCGATTTGGGGATCATTTCATGGTTGGGGATCATTTCGGGGTCGAGATCATTTCGGGGGCTCTACAGATCACTATTAGATGATCACGCGCCAGTTTGTTCTCGTCATGTCTCCACTCGATCCAGGCCCCCATGGTTCAATGAAGACATAATTCAGGCTCGTAGGGACAGGAGGAAGGCCGAGAGAAGATGGATAGCAAGTGGTCTCCAAGCAGATCTTGTAGTATTTAAAGCTAAGCGAAATTATGTCATACATTTGATGAATGAAGCTAGATGTACTTATTACAAGGAATTCATTGACGAGAACAGTTCGGACCAATCAAAGCTGTTCCGGGCTAGTAAGAGCCTACTAAATCTGCAAGAGGACAAGTCTCTCCAACCTCACACTGACGCCTCTGTTCTTGCAAATGAGATGGGTGAATACTTCATCCATAAAATAGTGGCTATTAGATCAAAGCTAGCTGGTAAAACGGTCTCTCCTGCGGTTACTGAGCGGGCGCCTCACGGTTCATCGAGTAGTGATGACCTTGTCACGCTATCAGAGTTTCAGCCTCTCTCCGAAGAGGCTGTAAGGAAGATGGCTGTGGCTTCTATGAAGACATGTACTCTGGACCCTCTTCCATCATCCATCTTGTTGGTTTGCATAGAGGAGTTACTTCTAGTGATTAGTAGGATGGTGAACGTATCACTAGAGCATGGTTACTTTGCAGATGACTGGAAAAGGGCAGTAGTACATCCTCTGCCCAAAAAATCTGGTCTTCAATTGATAAACAAGAACTTTCGGCTTGTGAGTAATTTACAGTTCACGTCCAACCTCACAGAGACAGCGGTTGCAGTACAATTACAGGAGCACATGCTAGTCAATGGCTTGTTTCCAGAATTGCAAAGTGCTTACCGCCAACATCATAGCACTGACACCGCACTACCGACAAGGTGAAGAACGATCTCCTAATGGCGATGGACAAAGGTCAAGTTACGCTGCTGGTGTTTCTCGACTTAAGCTCTGCATTCGACACCGTCGAACATGAGATCCTTCCGGAATGATTGAGGTCAACAATTGGTTTGCGGGGGAAAGTACTTTAATGGTTTGAGAGTTACCTTAAGGGCAGATCGCAGCAAGTGTCTATCAACGGAACTCTCTCAAAGCCGTTTAATTTGAAGTGTGGAGTTTCTCAAGGGTCGTGCCTGGGCCTGCTTTTATTTACTATCTACGTGAGTAAGCTGTTCCAGATTCTAAAACACCATCTGCCCTCCGTTCATACTTATGCTGACGATACACAGTTGTAGTTGTCATTTAAGCCCTCTGACTCTTCCAGTGAAGTCGAAGCTGTATCAGCCATGCAGAAGTGCATCTGCAATGCCCGAGCATGGATGAGGGAGGATCAGCTGATTGTCAATGATGACAAGACTGAGTTCCTGATTATAGGTACTCGTCAGCAGCTCTCAAAAGTTTAATCCAAAGCATCAAGATTGGGCAGACTGAAGTCTCTCCTGTAGCCTCTGCGCACAATTTAGGCACATGGTTCGATACGCATCTAGATATGGGAACTCACATTACAAAGACTTGTAGCAGCGCTTTCTATTATTTATACAATATACGTCATATTAGGAAATGTTTATCCAGAGAATCAACTGAGAAATTAGTTCTCTTAGTACATCTATATCTTTATTTGTAATTATCTTTTACTCATTTAATGTAAATATTTTTTATGATTTTGATAAAAATATTTGTAAAATTTAGTTATTAATTACTATTGTGATGCGCTTTTGAATATTTCATAGAAAAGGCGCAATACAAATAATAAATGTTATTGTTATTGTTTGTCTCAATGATCGTGACGATCTCCTGCTTGACCTTGGCTCAAAAAGCCTCAGTTACGCATGCGCTAGATATTCACGAATAAAAAATAGAGGGGGCCTTCACTCGCTTCATTTAATCATATACAGCTGTATATTAATGATATTCATCATAAAAACCTTTGGTGCAAGTAAACACATCTCAGGCAGGATATACGCCTGCAAGCACCTTCAGGCAATGATCACTGTAATCAATAGGCCATTTGCACGACGACGTCATTTTACTAATACGACCGGAATCCTTTAGGGTTTTGCTTTCTTGGCAAATTAAGTCTTTTGTTAGTTAAACCTCACTGGGATTACCAAATTTAAATATGAAAGAAAAAACGAAAAGTATTCTGGTCGTAGTAGTAAACTGACGCCATAGTGCAAATGGCCTATTCAATAGAGACCAATTCTATCACAGTCAGAGTTAACAGCACTGGGCGCGTGTATTCAATTAGTTGCTATTTCTAGCTACGTGTGATGAAACCAATCAAGCTTTTTCTTAGCTTTGTTAGAGCACCATAATGAGGTACTTCATACGGTAACTCAGGCGGCTATTTTAGAAGCTACTGAACAGACGAGAAAGTACTTGAAGATGAATTTTATTAAAAGTTAAAAGCATGGTTCTGAGGCGCCAGCTGAGGGAAGCGATCAGTTCAGCCATATTTCACAAAACTCTTGCTTCCTACTGACTCGGGACACTGGCCCGCGTCCACCCTTTTGTATTCCTTCAAAGCGGAGCTGACATCTCTTTATTCAGTGGAACAAAGATGACTTTTTCTGTTACGAACTCTATGCCCATGTTTTTCTCTTTCGACAACTGTTCAATATGTTACCGAGGTAACAGTTCATGCTTTTGTAGTAGGCGGATTGAGCACGTTTCCGTCAGGATAACGTTTTTTGAAGCGTTCTGTAACATCGGGATCTAATAAACGCACACCATCCAGCTGATTTCCCAGAGTAATCCTGTTAAACAACAAAATGCAAAACATCAGGCAGGAGGAAACCGTTTTCAAATATTTTTTGAACTAAACAATGTTTTCTCTCCCTTCGTAGAGTAATGTCCGGCCAGGGGGGGAGGGAGAAACCACTGCTCGCAGAGTAAAACAGTAGAGGACCTCAGAGTTGAACGATTAGCACCAACTGATTAAAATACTATACAAAATACTTTACAAGTTACTAAAGCCACTTACCAGTTAGGTTGAACATTGTGCTGTCTGCCAAACAGTTCTGGAAAATACAAAGGGGAAATTCAAAATCTTTGAATTTTTGCTCAGATTTAAACGGAAATAGGTGGACAAAAAGTACCAAATCCGATGTTGATCCATCTAATTCAAGACTGAATTCTAAATACTGCAAATTCGCTTCACGCAAGGTGAAAGAAAACGGAAAAAGAGACTGTACCATGATATCGCTAGTGAACATCAGTACCCGAAGTCAACAATAATTGTGAAAATGGAGAAACTGAACTTTATCGGCTAAGAGGTTAACCTTAACTGAACAAAGTACCTACCAATCTTTCGTGTCCCGGGTGCAAGCCGTTCAATCACTCCATAAATTTCACCAGGCTTGTGACTTGTTTGACGAACCTTGGGAAAGCAATTTTATTCAGCCAATTATTAACTAATTATTGCTTTCTACTGAGAAGAAAGCATCTTAGGCCCTGCCCATGGTATACGTATCCAGATAGTTTAGAAAAAGGAATATTTTTTCTCTGTTTTAGCCTTCCGTACACACGTAAGCGGCCGGCGTTTTGGGGCGCACAAAGCGCAGGTATCGAAAACGGGCACCAGAGTGGACTTTTTTCAGTTTTTGAAAACGCCGTCTTATCGTTTTCGTTTGGACGGACGATGTCATATATCATACAGCATGCAGCACATGCTCCGAAGGGACGCTATCGAGTTTTCATCGTTTTAGCGTTTTAGTTTATACGGGCGAAAACAGTTTGAATAGGATACGTGTGGACCTGTACTTTTTTGAAAATGGAGGGAAAAACTTCGTCTTTGAAAATATCTGGATACGAATAGAAAAATAATAATAATAACGAGATGAAAGTGCTATTTATCATCTGACCTCCCATCTTGCTTTCTTATTAGGACAATTATTTTGGGCCGCGGGGAAACTGGTTAGTAAACTTGGTCTCTCAGACTCCTTGCCAAACTTGTCTTCTTAGTTTTCTATAGTCATAACGCTGGTTGCTAGAATAAAGATTTTCTTAATACTTTTCAAATCAAACACAGGATGTAAATAAATAAATAAATAAATATTCTCTTATCACGCAGGGGTGAAATTCTTAAGGTTATCCCTGAATTTTGTATTTTGGGATTTGACAATTCCTCACTAACCTCAGCAACAAGCACGTCACAATCCAGACCTCGGTTAAAGTTCTTACATGCTCCTTTTACACCAACCTGCAGGAAGAATAAACATCCTTATAAGCCAAGAAGTCGACATTAAAAGAAACTAACGATCACTGATAACACCAAACAAACTAGCCTGTGAACAGGCTCTCTACTTGGGGAAAAAATAGCGAGGCAAGAGAAGGGAAAGGGGGGGGGGGGGGGAGTCAAAAGGGGGTTGCAGCATAATGAGATCCAGAGGGTTACCTTGAAACGGCGGTCCCAACTGTTTTCTTTAGGCCATCTTTTTTTTCCGCTTTCCCCCCCCCACTCAGCCAACGCCGTCTTGAAAGGCAGCAAAAAAACCAAACCCTAAAATTTAGGAGCTTGCATCAGAATGTGATGCACAGGGGTACCGTGGAACGGCGGTCCCAAATGTTTGTCTACAGGCCTTTTTGCTTTTCCCTCTCCCCACCCCACTCGACCAAAGGCCTGTTCACAGGCTACAAACAAACCAAAACCTCAAGCTTTTGGTTCATTGGTTCATACTGCCCTTTGTATAGACCTTACTCAATGGAGGACTGTTCTAAAATACGTAATGCCTAGTTAGAATCAATGTACCGGCCTTGGCAATACAGTAGAATCAGGTTAATTCAACCCCCTAAAATGTGCCCGTATTCATACGTACGACCACATTCTTTCATAGCAGACACACTCAGTCATTTTCGTTCATTTTCGGCAGCCAGTTTTACTAATATCGAACACGTCAAGTATCCCAGTATCTTATGAATCACGAAACTGTTCCTGATTGCCCTTGAACCGTTTGGTACTTTTCTAAATCCAGATGAAACAAGTTACATGCTTGCCCTTGCCCTCCCGCACAAACACATACACACACAGAACAAGTGTAACGGTTTACGTCAATTTGTCTTACCAAGCAGTGTTTTTTGCCGTGATTAAGCCAGTGCCCAGTCCTTCGGTTCTTATCAGTCGCTGAAGTTGGTTTGTTTTCACCCATATGAGCTCATCACAGCGTGCGTACCTAACAAAGTTTCAAGTATACTGCTGTTTTTAATGGCTGTAAAGACACCACTATTAGTATAAGTGAATGAAAAGTTTGCAAAAACAAAGAACTGGCCTTTTTACCATCTTTGTACTTACCCCCAGAGCTTTAAACACTCTCTACCAAGTTCCATCGCCCTAAGACAAAGGATACAATGCATAACTTTAACAAAAAAGCTCTTATCAGAAATAATAACACAACTTAGCATCAAAGCTTTTACAACGGTAATCTTTAAGCCTTTTTTTAGTACGTCGGTCCACACCACCAATCTAGTGGAAACTTTGACAGGTAAATTTATTGGCCTGAAAGGTACTGCTACCTCTACAAAACTGTTGACAATGGGTGCAGCAACAAGAGCGTTGCGCCGTGTTAACTCTTCTTATCCCCTTTCTTTCTCTGCCGCTAAACCGAGTTGTAACAACCTCTCCGTCTGCCCTCGTTTGTAGGGGAAAATCCATGTTGTGAGTGTCTCTGCTACGGAATTCAATTCCATAGCAGAGACACTCACAACATGGATTCAATGTACAAGTGAATGTACAAGCTTTACAAAGAATGAAATCTCAGTAAAATATACTGGTAGTATGAAGACAACGCTTACCTTCCCGTCACCTAAAGGAATATGTATCCCTCATCTTGAAGCGAAGGAACACCCAATTTGTGCATTTCATCATCCGACATGGTGCCGTAAGGAAGCTAATGATTAAAAGAGAACAAAACATTCAGCTAAGCGGTTAAAACACTTCTTTTGGAGCTAGGGTGCACACTTGCAGGAGCATGCCTTGTGATATAATTCTGGCTGAACAAATCAATTAAGAACAACAGTCGCCATAGTTGAGGGGAAAAACTACAAAGAGATTTCCACCACCATAGACACTTAAGAAATACGAGAAACGTTTTTTGTTCAACTTGTCTGCAAATACCCCGTTACAAGTTCAATAAGCTTGTTTTTTACAAAAATGTCACGTTCAAAAAAGGTATAGTTGCTAACATTCCGAGAACCCCAGTCAAACTCAACCCAACACTGCCGTATTTCTCATCCTGCTTTCCTTCCCTAGCACGGTTGCCTAACTACTAACTATGGGAGAATAAGCCCGCGATATTCCGCCATATTTATATCTGTGCCCTCTATAAGTTGCTAGCCTGTTTAATAACTACATTGTAGACAGTATAAATTATAACTAAAGAACAAATTGTAAATATACCTCCTTATGCATATCCCATGGTGGGTCAGCCATTACAACAGCGAATTTTCCCAGAACAGTCATATCAAGGTACCGCAAGTCACACTGTATCCACTAAAGAATCAAAAACAAAAAATTTTCTTTAACTTTTAACAGGGGAATACTGGTTATATTTATGACTTCTCAAACTCATTAATAATTCATAAAGAAAATTCAAAGGAAATTAATGTTTAATGAGTGTTTGGATATCGGATGAAAAACTGCTCATTTTTGCATCCTTAATTTCTCCTTCAAAAATGATTTTGTTTGAGAAGAAATATCAAACATTCGACACATTGTTTCATCACCAGATGAAACACCTCGAAGTTCGTCAAAAATACTCCGCTACGGGTCGTATTTTCAACTCTCTTCTCGGTGTTTCATCTGGTGATGAAACACTGCGTCTCATGTTTGATATATTACATCAAAAGACATACGGGAATCCAAAACATCAGGGAGATTGAGGCAGCAATGCCGAAGAGGAAATTATGGAAGGCTATTGTCATTGAGAGATTCGCCCAAGTAAGTAATTACCGTATTTATTCGGCGTTAACTGTATTTCGCGATTGTTCAAGGGCGGCGTTTATTTCTTTGGTATATACTTCATGGCAGAAAGCCACAAGTGCACCGGTAATATACACTCTGTGTAATATGTAGTATTGTGTCTTCTCCCTAATAGCCAGTGGTAGTTACTAGTAGTTACTTGTAGTTACTAGTAGTTACTAGTAGTTAGTGGTAGTTATTAGTAGTTACTGGTAGTTACTAGTAGTTACTGGTAGTTACTAGTAGTTGTCGGTAGTTACTAGTAGTTACTTGTAGTTACTAGTTGTTACTAGTAGTTAGTGGTAGTTATTAGTAGTTACTGGTAGTTACTAGTAGTTGTCGGTAGTTACTAGTAGTTACTAGTAGTTCTTGGTATTTACTAGTAGTTACTGGTAGTTGTTGGTAGTTACTAGTAGTTCCTAGTGGTTATCGGCAGTTACTAGTAGTTACTGGTAGTTACTAGTAGTTACTGATAGTTAATAGTAGTTGTCGGTAGTTACTAGTAGTTAGCAGTAGTTATTAGTAGTTACTGGTATTTACTAGTAGTTACTGGTAGTTATTAGTAGTTACTGGTATTTACTAGTAGTTACTGGTAGTTACTAGTAGTTGTCGGTAGTTACTAGTAGTTACTTGTAGTTACTAGTAGTTACTAGTAGTTAGTGGTAGTTATTAGTAGTTACTGGTAGTTACTAGTAGTTACTGGTAGTTACTAGTAGTTGTCGGTAGTTACTAGTAGTTACTTGTAGTTACTAGTTGTTACTAGTAGTTAGTGGTAGTTATTAGTAGTTACTGGTAGTTACTAGTAGTTGTCGGTAGTTACTAGTAGTTACTAGTAGTTCTTGGTATTTACTAGTAGTTACTGGTAGTTGTTGGTAGTTACAAGTAGTTCCTAGTGGTTATCCGCAGTTACTAGTAGTTACTGGTAGTTACTAGTAGTTACTGGTAGTTAATAGTAGTTGTCGGTAGTTACTAGTAGTTAGCAGTAGTTATTAGTAGTTACTGGTATTTGCTAGTAGTTACTGGTAGTTATTAGTAGTTACTGGTATTTACTAGTAGTTACTGGTAGTTACTAGTTGTTGTCGGTAGTTACTAGTAGTTGACGGTAGTTATTGGTATTTACTAGTAGTTACTAGTAGTTGCTGGTAGTTACTAGTAGTTACTAGTAGTTGATGGTAGTTTTTGGTATTTACTAGTAGTTACTGGTAGTTACTAGTAGTTACTGGTAGTTACTAGTAGTTGCTGGTAGTTACTGGTAGTTGTTGGTAGTTACTGGTAGTTCCTAGTAGTTATCGGTAGTTACTAGTAGTTACTGGTAGTTACTAGTAGTTGTCGGTAGTTACTAGTAGTTACTAGTAGTTGATGGTAGTTATTAGTAGTTACTGGTAGTTACTAGTAGTTAGTGGTAGTTATTAGTAGTTACTGGTATTTTCTAGTAGTTAGTGGTAGTTATTAGTAGTTACTGGTAGTTACTAGTAGTTAGTGGTACTTATTAGTAGTTACTGGTAGTTAATAGTAGTTGCTAGTAGTTGTCGGTAGTTACTGGTAGTTACTAGTATAGTTGATGGTAGTTATTGGTATTTACTAGTAGTTACTGGTAGTTACTAGTAGTTGCTGGTAGTTACTAGTAGTGACTAGTAGTTGATGGTAGTTTTTGGTATTTACTAGTAGTTACTGGTAGTTACTAGTAGTTACTGGTAGTTACTGGTAGTTGTTGGTAGTTACAGTAGTTCCTAGTAGTTATCGGTAGTTACTAGTAGTTACTGGTAGTTACTAGTAGTTGTCGGTAGTTACTAGTAGTTAGTGGTAGTTATTAGTAGTTACTGGTATTTACTAGTAGTTAGTGGTAGTTATTAGTAGTTACTGGTAGTTACTAGTAGTTAGTGGTAGTTATTAGTAGTTACTGGTATTTACTAGTAGTTACTAGTAGTTGCTGGTAGTTACTAGTAGTTGATGGTAGTTTTTGGTATTTACTAGTAGTTACTGGTAGTTACCAGTAGTTACTGGTAGTTACTAGTAGTTGCTGGTAGTTACTGGTAGTTACTAGTAGTTGATGGTAGTTTTTGGTATTTACTAGTAGTTACTGGTAGTTACTAGTAGTTTAGTGGTAGTTACTATTAGTTGTTGGTAGTTACTAGTAGTTAATAGTAGTTCTTGGTATTTACTAGTAGTTAGTGGTAGTTACTAGTAGTTCCTAGTAGTTATCGGTAGTTACTAGTAGTTACTGGTAGTTACTAGTAGTTACTAGTAGTTGACGGTAGTTTTTGGTATTTACTAGTAGTTACTGGTAGTTACTAGTAGTTAAGTGGTAGTTACTATTAGTTGTTGGTAGTTACTAGTAGTTAATAGTAGTTCTTGGTATTTACTAGTAGTTAGTGGTAGTTACTAGTAGTTCCTAGTAGTTATCGGTAGTTACTAGTAGTTACTGGTAGTTACTAGTAGTTACTAGTAGTTGACGGTAGTTTTTGGTATTTACTAGTAGTTACTGGTAGTTACTAGTAGTTAGTGGTAGTTACTAGTAGTTGTCGATAGTTGCTAGTAGTTAGTAGTAGTTCTTGGTATTTACTAGTAGTTAGTGGTAGTTATTAGTAGTTGTCGGTAGTTACTAGTAGTTACTAGTAGTCTATAGTAGTTCTTGGTATTTACTAGTAGTTACTGGTAGTTATTAGTAGTTACTGGTAGTTACTAGTTGTTACTAGTAGTTGATGGTAGTTTTTGGTATTTACTAGTAGTTACTGGTAGTTACTAGTAGTTAGTGGTAGTTACTAGTAGTTGTCGGTAGTTACTAGTAGTTAACAGTAGTTCTTGGTATTTACTAGTAGTTAGTGGTAGTTATTAGTAGTTGTCGGTAGTTACTAGTAGTTACTAGTAGTTAATAATAGTTCTTGGTATTTACTAGTAGTTACTGGTAGTTATTAGTAGTTACTGGTAGTTACTAGTAGTTACTGGTATATACTAGTAGTTACTGGTAGTTACTAGTAGTTGCTAGTAGTTGTCGGTAGTTACTAGTAGTTACTAGTAGTTCTTGGTATTTACTAGTAGTTAGTGGTAGTTATTAGTAGTTACTGGTAGTTACTAGTAGTTCCTAGTAGTTATCAGTAGTTACTGGTAGTTATTAGTAGTTCTCGGTAGTTACTAGTAGTTGCTAGTAGTTGGTGGTGGTTACTGGTAGTTACTAGTAGCTACTGGTAGTTA